TCTGATCATTTGATGACATATGTAGTTGATATGAAATGAAAGATGCAGTCAAATAAAATCTTGTTACTATTTGTAAAAAATTCATGTTATCATTTATTCATTTTAACCATAATAAAACTTTTTTTTTTCAGTTAAATTAACGGAAAAAGTTGTTATATAGAATGGTACTTTTATTGATTTATATCTTAAAGAAAAAAAAAACTATCAAAAATGATATACTTTTCAACAATATTTTCTTATTTCTAAGACATATTATTCTCTTCATCGAATATTTTTTTTTATCAGCTCGAAGGGAATAACAAATAAGTGTTTTACTTAAATAAAACAAAAAAAACAGAACAAAGTGTACTTGATATTCTCTCAAAAAAATTAATGAAATCTTTTAAAAGCACTTCAGATATGAAAATGCTTGTTGTCATTCTATGAATAAATTAAGCGAGATATTTCTTTGATTGGATGACATATATTCTATTAGAACTTAATAGTTGAATGGTTAAAAACATTTACACATATAATAGTTTCATAGACTTAATGTTAGAAGAAATATACGGCATATGTCAAAAATTATGCAAATAATTGAACTAGAGAAGTATGTAGCTACATAGTTCTATCTTTTCTGTTCGAACATACAAAATCCGATTGTCTATCGTTTTAATTTTTAAACAAAAGAACAAAAAAAAGTTCATATGGCATGTATTTTGTAGTATTGTGAATTGCATTTTATTCTCTAAACTCTTGTTGTGTTATCAAAATATTTCTTTCCAACAGTGTCACATATCAAAAATTTTGGAGATGCATCTACGTCTAGCACGGGAGATGTGCATCTCTAAAGGAGATGATACATCTCCAGTGGAAAATGACCGTGTCTCCTGAAGGTGATTCCGCGTCTCCCGCAGAAGATGCTGCATCTCCTGTGAGAGATGTAGGCGCATCTCCCAAATTTTGGATATGTGACACTGCTCTTTTTTTCACATTATACGCAATAAACCAAGAGTTATATTACGTGTTTATGAAAGCTATCTGAAATATTCGATCAGAATTATTTGTAAGTATTTGCTAACAATCTTTATTTAACTAAAAAAAATCATCTGTTGAATTATCAACAAAAAAAAAAGACAAGTTTTTTTAATAATAGTCAAGTTACTTTCAATTAATTTATCTTACAGTATGGATGAAAACTTTCTTTTATTTTCCTGAATAGCTAAATTTATCAAATTAAAAGAAAGGCATATTACAATAATCGTATTTTAGATAATTAACAGCATTTTTCGAACTATTTTCTAGTAGTAGATTATGATTTAAAAACTTAATATTACTATAGAAAAAGAAAAATAATACATTATGAAAAATTATATATGAGAAATAAATGATATTTACTATTTCCTAGAACATCAAAATCTACATCTTTTGAAAAGGAATTTAAAGTCATTTAAAATTTGTCTTTATAAAAATATTTGCAAAACCGAAGAATTAGATAAGCTTTTATTATATCTGATTATTCTAGTTAATCGATTTACTTCTATATATTTCTTTTTCTGTGTGTAGAAGATTATTTTTGTTTTATATCAAAGTAAAATTTTGCTGAATGTGTCATACAGATTAACTTTAGTTTTCAATTGTAGATAAAATATATTTTCATACAAAAAATAAATATTATTATAAGTTTCTCGGTAAAACAGGATGTAATCTTCTTATATACATAAAAAAAAAGTTCCTTTTCGATCAATATATAAGGTCATAGCGACATACGATAGTAATACTGAGCCATGTATTACGGCAAAATACAGCCGTAAACGATCGAAAACGACCGTGCACTGGCTGTTTCTCTCCGTAAATCTCGTTGTGTAGATGGTTTAATCCGTTATATACTTTGCTCTGAAAATCTTGACTTGTCAAAATTTTCACACCTAGATTAATAAATTATTGTAATTAAATTCTATAAAAGAATAATTTATTTGATCAAACGACAAGAATTATAGAAAAAAAAGCTAGTAGAGTAAATATAAAACTAATTATATACCTCTTGTACTCGTGAAAAGACACCCTAGCAGATAAAGAAAAAAGCATCTAACCATGAGTTCTTTCATCTTCTATTTTGTTCACAAATAAAGTGCGATGAGTTTTGATAGCAAGTAACAATTAGAACTTGATCGATCGTCGTATGAAGGAGATACAAGATCAATAATAGAGATATTCTTTTTTCTATTCACATGAGAATACTTTAACATTAGCAATAAGTACCATAGAGTTTGATATGTTTCTCTCGTCGATAAAAGTTCAACGTCAAATAATTATAGTTTGCTTAATTTCTGAAGTTATTATTGAAGAGTATTCTTAATACGACAGTTGATCGAATTCATTAAAAATTAATTAGTATTTTCGGATTTATTATTTTATTCTCTAATGATTTGTTCGTTCTGATCAAGTACTTAATGAATATGACATTTTTATACTCACTGATAAAACGTATGTCTATGCGAAAATCGTCTCCAGGTCATAGTAGATTTGAGTATTTTTTTTCTCTGACATTCTCAGGACATGTTGAACTTTATTTTTCAAGAAAATGATATATGTTAACGCTCGAGAATAATGACAAAATTAGAAAAATGTCAAAAATTTTTAACAATGTTTCTTTTTTTAATTCTAAATTCGATACATTAAGAATGATCGATTTTGAATTCTATTCGTAAAAAAAATATTACATGTGTCATATTAAATTGAAATATTTTCTCCATAGGAGCAAACACTTTTGACGAATACTGTAAACAGAATATTTTTATCATCTAGATGAGTTTTTCTTTTGAATTATTCATGAACAATTAAGCTTTTAAGAAGATTTTTTTCTATATGATTTATAAAATTGATAATTATAAGCTGTTTTCCTTATTATCTAATCGAAATTTATATATATTTTGATTTGTATATGAAGAAGCTGTAGAGTTGAATTTTCATCTTTAATTATATGAAACACGACATATATGTCCGTAGTGTTTTATGTAATTTTATATTAAGTAGTTATATTATAAGATATGATTAGGCTAATGGTATTTTCACATGCTTCTTAGTGTTTGTCAAAGCTCCTTCATAAATCTTATCATCCGGCATAATAGTCTAATTATGTTTTTTTTTCTTCCTACAAAACACTATGGAAAATAAAGATACCGTAAAAACATCTTATTTTAATGCTGGTTTTTTCTTTCTTTTCTACAGAATATTAATTTTATTGACAAGAACACATCTCTATATTGCTTTACTAAAAGATATACGTCATTTGACTGAAGCATTTTTACATTTAATTTTCCTATGTTCAAAATAGATTCTACAATATAAAAATGCAATAGCATTTACATAATGACTTTTATTAAAAAAAAATTATGCTTGCTATAAATGAAGAAAACATTCTTTTGCAATTATTATTCTACATTTTTTGTTATGACAAGTGTCATCTTATAAACGGAGAGCATATACATACACTACTTGACAAAAGTATCCCCCCCCCTCGGATCTCAGTCCATACAAGAGCTGAGCGGCTGAAAATAGGTGTGCAGGTAGCCCATAAAGAATGTAGGTCAGCGGCACCATCTACAACACAGTTGCTCGAGTAAGAATGGCGTTCTAATGGATGTCATTGGTATGCATTGTGAACTTGATAGCTCGAGAAAGGTAAGACATTTTGAGTCGGTCAACCCTTCATTTTGTAGCCCTACCTAGTAGCTATTTGTACTAAAAATTTCATTAACGTTCATCTATCTATTGATGAACTATGATCATTTTAGTGTAAATATTGATATACCGAAAAACCATATCATACCATCGAGAGATTAATAACTTAGTGATAGTTCAATGAATTCATCTGAAATTTTCAGGAGATATTCCCCCATCATTGGGTATTGTGTCCTGAAAGTTTCAGAAGAAAATCTCTTACTAATGAGAAATGGCATGTGAATGGCTGTTGAGTTCTTGTCAAGTCTCTAGACTCCTTATAACTCGAGCAAATGGCCTCATCTTTTGACTATAGAAAGAGCATAGGTTGGGCTCAATTCGGTGCTAAAATATCGATAATTACTTCTGTATTTGCTAAAAAAACAATGCATACTTTAATAAGTCCTTTTTTTACCCATTTTCTGTCAGTATCACTGAACATCGTCCTATGTTCATCTATTATTGGCTAGGTATATTAAAGTGACTTGAAAGTTTTGGAAAGCATCCTCACCGTGTCTGGCTGCATTAGAAAACGACATTTTCACCTTGAAATTGCTGATAAGTGTAATAAAATTAATCATAGATATATTGAAACGTACTATTTCCAAATAACCAATGGCTTGCACTCATGCTGACAAAAACGGGTAAAAAAAGGACTTATTAAAGTATGCATTGTTTTTTTAGCAAATACAGAAGTAATTATCGATATTTTAGCACCGAATTGGAGCCCAACCTATGCTCTTTCTATAGTCAAAAGATGAGGCCATTTGCTCGAGTTATAAGGAGTCTAGAGACTTGACAAGAACTCAACAGCCATTCACATGCCATTTCTCATTAGTAAGAGATTTTCTTCTGAAACTTTCAGGACACAATACCCAATGATGGGGGAATATCTCCTGAAAATTTCAGATGAATTCATCTCTCGATGGTATGATATGGTTTTTCGGTATATCAATATTTACACTAAAATGATCATAGTTCATCAATAGATAGATGAACGTTAATGAAATTTTTAGTACAAATAGCTACTAGGTAGGGCTACAAAATGAAGGGTTGACCGACTCAAAATGTCTTACCTTTCTCGAGCTATCAAGTTCACAATGCATACCAATGACATCCATTAGAACGCCATTCTTACTCGAGCAACTGTGTTGTAGATGGTGCCGCTGACCTACATTCTTTATGGGCTACCTGCACACCTATTTTCAGCCGCTCAGCTCTTGTATGGACTGAGATCCGAGGGGGGGGGGGGATACTTTTGTCAAGTAGTGTATATAAATGATACTTAATCTAGACGGATGAATTCAACAACAAATATTTCATTATTAACAACATTAAACTGTTCATTAAAAGATCGTGTTTATACATCAGATTATTTATTTTTTAAATTACTTTATGGGACATATTTACGTTTACTTATTGGGCCAGGTATATTACTTAATACACTTTGTCTTTTTGTTCTTTCACGTCCAAGATTATCAAATAAATCAACAACTATTGTCTTTTTACGATTTCTTGCAATTTTTGATATTTTGGCCATTACACTCAAATATATTCGAGCTGAAATTAATTATCAATCACTTGAAAAACAAAAAGATATTATGATAATAACACCTGTATTTTGTAAAACACTTTATGTATTTATGAATGCATGCATTTCAATAGCTATGTGGACTATCGTCTTAATGAGTTTGTAAGTAATTCAACATACAATAGAAATTCATGATCTATTATTTTGTTTTAGAGATAAAGCTGTAGCTGTCAGTTATCCACTCAAATCTGGTATATGGGTAACACCAAAACGAGCATTTTATGGGTGTTGTTTTATAAGTTTTATACTTTTAATGGCTAATTTATATTTTATTAGATTATCGGGTGTAGTTCTAGGAAAAAATAATAATAATAAAATATATTGTGGATTAATTAAAGATTCTTTGATAATTGATGTTACTACAGCTTCGATTTTACCTATTAGTAAGTAGTATTATTGATTACATAAGCTACGATATTTATTCGTTTGTTTTTGTTAATTATATTATTTCTATGACATATATTTGAAGTGAACAAATTTTTTACATAATGATTCGAAGTCAGTCTAGATATGGATATTAATCTGTAATACTAAAGAATTTTATAAATTAAATAGAATAGTTATAGATTAACAGAAATAATCTATAAAGATAAGTTTATATATATATATATGTCGTGTTGTAGTTATTCAACATTAACTAAACAACAAATAATAACCATTTGATTGATAATATTATAAACAAAATGTATTATTTTCGTTAATTTTTTCATTTTAATAATGTAAAGTTAAGTATGATAAGAATAAATAAGAGTTAGAAAATCTATTCAAAAAACTAGAGTACTACATTGTGTCGATAATTTAGATTTTTGTAGTAAGGTTCTGATGAGAAGACATACTACAGTTTATGAAATTGGACCTTAAAGTAATGTTCTAATTTGAAATATTACTCAAATTGATAGGTAATATGAATAATTGTTTACGCAAGAATGAATTTAATTATCATTGAGATCATATTCATGCCAAGGAATGCAGCAGCATCAATTTAGTTAATTTACTAATTTAAAAATGTGTTTTAAAAATATTTTTGTACCAACGCCATATAGATAAATTCACTAAAACGCTTAAATAACAGCATATATCAAGTTGGCATATGAAGCTTAATGATTTGATAATTAGTAGATAAGAAAATGACAATGATATGGAATGTGAAAAAATAATAGATTTCGGGAACTTATTTATTAAATTTGTTAGATATATCAAAAAGTTGAGGCTTATTTTTTTGATAGCATATCGTAAATCGTAATGAAATCTTTATCTTCATTTCTTTTTTCTATTAGATAATTATATAAATGTTGAAATTTTAATAAAATTTTGCAAGATATTAAAAACGTATTTCGGAAAGCTTCAAGTTCTCGATGTTTTTCAACAATGGCTACATTATGATTATTATTTGTTGTTAAGATGATGTTTGATAACTTCAATATGACATATATATACATAATCAAATGAAAAAAATCTATTGACATAATTGATATTATTACTATATGTTATAACTTTAGCTTTAAAATTGATTTTTTTCTTTTCATTTGTACACTAAGTTTTATTTATGAATGTACAAGTCGATGAATAATAGGACTAATGTTTGTGCTGACATTTGACTGTCAAAAAAGCATTTTATAGGTTATAGTGTAATATCATGGTAAACTCCGATACATAAGTAATAATAGAATATTCAATAGAAATGAGTAGTATAATTGATTCTCATAGTTATCGTATGTTAGAAAATTTCATGAATTTAAATCGATTTATTACAATTCTTTTCAGGACAAAAAAATTTCATTTTCAAAGTAATCTTTCAATGTTATTAAAAGACATTATACCTGGAGCCTTTTTTTCTTTTGTTGTTGATATATGTAATTAAAACAAGTTATTATTTCCATAGTTATCAATGGTATTCGAACTGTTACTGACATAGTATATAACTAAACATTATCAAAATTGTAAATTTTTAATCTACTAATAATACTTTAGACCGTTTGGTATGTTATTCTTGAAAAATTAACGTACAAATTAAGTTGAAATGAATGTTTTTCTAGATTTATAATTGTAGAAAAATTTTTTCATGTATGTTTGAACTAATTTCAATAATAAAATGTTAGCTATTACATCAATATAATTAACTAATGTAATATTGTACTTGTAGCATGATGAGTTGGGATTATTAAAATTTTTTGAAATATTAAGCTCAATAAGCTATACTTTAGCATAGAATGTTCTAATGATGTTAAAGATATTTTTGTATTGGTTAGATCTATTTATTTTTCTTCACCTTCATAGAACACTGTACACTAACTATAATAAGTCTTAGATTGAGTAAAACTAATGTTTATATGATCGGTAGAATCTAATCATATTATTTAAGTACTTTATAAACAAGAAAGACAACTTTTAAAATTTTGAAGAATGTGTTAAATCTCTTCACATATTTGAATTTGATTGTTTCGAAATACTTGATTGTAAAGATTGAAAATATATTTATATTACTATATTAATATACTTATATTTAATCATGTTATTCTCTGCCCTGTAAGAAAACTGAATATTATATAAACCATTTAAAAGATTGAAAGATCAACTAGATTAAATACTCTCGTTTTAGTTTTTAACAGTTATATTCGTATGTATTTTCAATGCTCTAATTAAATAATTAGTCTGTTGAGTTTATATAAAGAGGATATAGCAATTTTCTTCTAATAGAAGTCATGAATCATTGTTGTCCGAAACAGATAGACATTGCCAATGTTAATTCTTTATATTTGCCTCATTACAATATTTAGAGTTCATATGTTAATCATTAGTAGGAAATCATTATATTAGAGATACTTTGGAGAGATTTAAATTTCGATTAACATCTATACTTATTCTCAAAACAGAAACAATTTCTCTCTAGAGAAAATTGATAAACTTAGCAAATAGAGATATGTAAGATAATATTGTAATAATATAGTTACTATTTATAAATATTTCCTTACTTATTTCTTATTCATATTTTTTCTAAATGAATATCTAGTTAATTCTAAATACTATTTCATAAATATTTATAGCTATTTAAATATTATCCCTTGGTTATCGTTCATTTTTTAGTTGAAAATATTGCAATTTAATGTTTTGCTTGCTTATGTTGATAAAAGAATAGACAAAAAAAATGGATATTGTATATGCAGCATATTTGTTACTATTTTATTTTTCAATAACCATGATTAATTTTCAAATGATCAACATCTTGTAAAAAAACGATAACAAACATTTTAAATATCAAAATTTATCAGAAACATATTAGATCGTACAAAAAAAATGTCACAAATCTATGATTATGATATTCGATCAATGAGTTTTCAATGAACTCCTATCGAAAACTTCTCGTGTTACATGATCTAGAATTTTATTAAAAGTTATATCTTTTCAAAAGCTATGTAAGAACTTTGATCAAGATAAAAATGTTTCAATACAGAGAAACAAAGAATTCATGGAAATATTTATTTACGTGTCTTAGTGAAAATTATATCTCGATATATTTTTTTCAATTGATGAAATTATTCAGAAATTAAAATAAAATTTTGAATAAATGTACAATGTTCTCTTCATTGATAGAGTATTCTAATAAAAACTCTAAAAGAATTTGAATTTCTATTGAGATTAGACTAGACTAGCAAAATTTTGGATCAAATCTCTTCAAGATTTGAGACATTAACTTTAGATCAAAATTCGAAAATGTAAGTGTTCTGAAAACTTCGAATCTCAAGAAAATAGACATATTATAACTCCGATAACTTACAAAGAAACATTTCTAACTATGAATTGAAGTTCATAGTTTACTTCTACCGAGAGACTGTATACTTTAGTAGAATGTCGTGATTTTCTTAGAAACATTAAGAAAATTGAATTTCGACTTGAACTTTTGCATAAGAACACATCTTAACGAGAATAGTTTATTGAAAAAGTTTCAAATTTTTTAATTGCTTATATCCTAAGTTACATTTATGATAAAATCATATGTTTTAAGCTATTTTTATAAACCATGACAAAAGTTCGACATTCTAATTTTTCAATTTGATATTCAATATTCTGTTCGCCTAATATTCCTGAGAATGACTACAGTATCTCATCAGCAATAAGATATTATCCTGAACTGTTTTTATATTTTTCATAGTTCATTAGAACCTATCCGATGCCAATAGCTCCAATTCAAAATTAATTTGATATTTAAAAACGTTTTTTTTCGATAGTTGTTTCCAATAAAAACTCAAATTCATTTAGAGTTTTTATTAGAACATTGTATAGCATCTATAGATAAAAGAAAGTCATTGAAACTGAAAGAAAATATTCAAAGAAATTGTCTCATATGTTAATTTACTCGTATTGCTATTTAATTTCGGATTTTAAAATTTAATATATATATATATTGTTAGGTTTAATCACACTTATTAATATTGTTATTGCTGTTACTGTGAATTGTGTTTCTCATACATCATTGGATTTATATACAACTAAGAATAAAATAGAGTTACAAAGTTCATCAAGCGATTTTATAAAAAAAGGACTTATATCAACGAAATATCGTATTCGATTCTCAGAAAGTTCATCATCAACAACAGATAGAAGTCAAGCAATGAAACGACGTATAAGTGCACAAGTAACACGAATGCTTTTAGCTGTTACATTATCATTAATTATATTTAATATTCCAAATACAATTGTATTTCTTTATACAAGAATTAATGATCATCGATCATTATTCAAAAATCGTCAATGTTTTGAAGTTAGTGATAATGATATTAAATTATATAAAAAAAATTTTTATTTAAGTGTTATACAAGATATATTATCTGATTTACCACATATTGTAAATTTTTTTCTTTATTGTTTAGCTGGAAAAAAATTTCGAAGTATTTTTTTAAATGAAATTCATCATTGTTGTATTAGAACATATTTAATTAGAAAAAAACAAAGATATTTTACTCAAAATGGTAGTATTATTAATGGTGATTTAAGTTATCCAGCAGGTTTTAATTCAAGTCAAAGACAAATATTATATGGAGATACTTTATCAAAATTGAAGAAGACAACTAATGCTTCATTTAATACTTTAACAAATAAATTAATTTTCAATGATGAAAATCATAATGAATTCATAAATGAAAATGAAAATTTTCTGTCAGGACAATATTAAACCTATTATTTTATTCATGAATATATTAAATATTTTTCTTTTTCATTATTTTGATCTATATGTAATATGATCTTAATTTGATGCTAAATAAATAATAAAAAAAAATAAGATACATTGTAATCTTATCAATTTTTTGACATTTATTGTAAGAAAACGAAAAAATGAAATTTTAGTCATATGTCGAACTATTAGATGAAGGTCAAGTTGTTTTTTTTAGACTGTTTATTTTAGATGTGTGCCATTATAATATTTAACATTGAAATCATTGTTTGTCTTTGTACTTGTCAGTCTTTTCTATTTCTTTCTACTACATTTATTCATCTTGTCGAATTACTTATGTCATCAAAATGAAAGAATAGTAGTGTAGATTATACATTTATGATTGTGTTTTAACAGACACTTTAAACAAGACATACATGTCATTGATCATTCGATCAATACGATGATTAAAGCTACATTTTCAACAAATTCATTTGATCAATTTTTATCTTCTTACGAAGATGATTATGGTTTGTTATTTGTTTGCATTCTTTTCTTTTTTGATACATTTGAAAGTTAGCAAAAATATTTAATCATTTGTATAGATTTTTGTAAAAAAAAAAAAGTCATGAATTGTATATTAAGAAAGTAGTACTTAACACCTCTTCGTACTCTTAATAATCAAGATTTCTGCTTGTCAATGTCGTTGGCTAACGGCAGATTGCTTCATAATTTAGTTTGAGAACGATCATGTTGACCTTTTTTTTATTAATTATGCTATACTTTTTCATTTTTTTTTATCTATTTACAGCTTCGATCAATTATAATAATGAAATTCACTCGATTCTTGTCTATATTGGTCTCATTACAATTATTCTATGTTTTCTTCTTTTAATAATTTCATTGATTAATAAATGTATGAAAATATTTCATGATGAAACAATTACAACAACAAAAAGTATATTTATTGAAACATCAAAAAAAAAAAACAAAAAAAAAATATTTCTAATCGATTATTTTCAGTTAAACAACAACAAACAAGATATAAACAAAATCAATCTAATTTTTTGATAAATAGACAAACTAATATATCTTCTGTTTCATCTTCATCATTTCTAATTAATTATCAATCAAATAATATGTTATCTAGATCTTCATTGTCTACAACACTTCGAATGCTTCAATATAAACAACAAAATTTATCGTCTATTATTCATGTATAAGTTTATTTTCATTTAGCACATTGTTTATATAATATTTATTCATGAATATAAATATTTATAAGTATGAGAAAAGATCGAATAATAAATAAGGATAAAATGTAAGAAAATACAAAACTCATTTTCGATCAGAAACATCAGTCAACAAAGTTATTTAATTAGGGGTGGTGCATTAGCATTAGTATTAGCATTAAATTAATGCTAACACCAATATTCTTGTTTTTCGTTCCTAAGAAAAAGTATTTGAATTTGTACTGATTAATGTAAGGTTAGACGCAGTCAACAGCCCTGATTAATTCCATTACTTTTGTGTTACAATTTTAATATAAAAACATTGTAACTAATAATAAGTTAATGCTTAATATAGTATTAATTTATATCAGCTACAATACTTTTATATTAAAATTGTAACATAAAAGTATTGGAATTAATCAGGACTGCTGGCTGCGTCTAACCGTACATTAATCAATACATATTCAAATACTTTTTCTTAGGAATGGAAAACAAGAATATTGGTGTTAGCATTAATTTAATGCTAATACTAATGCTAATGCACCACCCCTATATTTAATATTTAAACGAGCGATATTATGTTTTCGCTCGACTTTTCTCTAATAACATACTCGATGAATTATTTTACGTCAGTGTTTATCAATTGATCCGTATTTATCTTCCATTAATAGTATATAATTTTTTTTTTTTCATATGATTAATTCTTGTGAACATTTTGACCTAGCAGTAAACATAAAAATAGAACATAAAAACCTTGATAAGTTATCCATAATACTGATCGATGATTACAATGAAAATAATCAAACATGAATTGAAACAACAGTGAAGACCTGGGTGCTTGTTCACTTTAAACATATTCCATACACCAATCCGCGTATTTAACGCTCACACATCAAAGAGTGCGGGTGAGAGCATATGTCGAAAGTGAACAAGTACCCCATTTTTACTGAAAACATGAATATACAAAAAGCCTACAGAATACCATCGAAATGTCTATACTTCAGCGCGTATCTGATGGATCCATCTTGAATTTTTAGGTATTTCAGAATGATTGATTATTGTTTTTTTCAAAGTTTTTGAAAATAAATATTTTACTTAATAACAATAGTGCAACTGACGACTATTGTGTACTTGTTAGGACTCTGAACTCCGAAATCTTCATTAGCAAAACAGATGAGATCATATTTTCAGCACTACAGAACTGTGAGTGAAGTTACAATTTCATGATGAAAGGTCGATAATTACTCGTGTATTACCTTACAAACAACACACAAATCAATAAACAATTTTTTTTGCTATTTTTCTGTCAAACACAATAACTGTCTTTATTTGTTAAGATTTCACTAGAAAGACTTTTCTGCATGCTTTGAAGTTCTTAGGATACGGTAAAAATCTAGCTGTGTTTATTCAATCATTTAGCATTGAGACTGATATTGCTGATAATTAAATTCAAATTGTCCTAGATAATTTATAATCTGGATATCTTGATTACCAAATCGTTGCAATCTTAAGAATATAATCTTTCTATAATATGTATTATAGAAATGTCTGCAACAGAAAGATATTTATGTTAGTGTTATTCACATGCAGCTCTGCAAAATCCATATAAATAACTTTCACCAACAGCCAAATTTTGACGAGTGATGCTCATTAAGAATTGCTTTATATGGATTTTATTAAAAAAATATACTGTCACCAAAAATAAAATGATTCGAACTTCTACTAACATCCAGAATCTCTTTTATATTGTACACAAATATCCCACATTACCTTGACTAACATCTACTGAAAAATTTCAATCTACTGATTGATATATCATTGAAATACATACTGAAGTTTATTTATCTTGCAAGTACGCCTAAATATGAGGAAGAAGTCTAAAAACAGGCACAAATGTATGACCACAAGGAATATAAAAATAGGAACGTGGGATTTTATGCAATTGATTTATATAAACAATTCAATAGACTTAAATTTAATTTTCTAACAGCAAAAGAACGTCTAGGTATTAGTGAAGATAAGTTGGGTGTTATCAGTTTGTTAATAAAGACTTTTTGTATATTAATAGGTGTCTTTAGATATTTTTTGGTCGATTTCATTTATTTTTTGGGAAAAATTGTTAGAAAAAAAGTAATTTGAAGATGGCACTTATTCGTGTCAGAATCTAGAATATGGACATTTGTGAATTTTACTGAAAGCAACTTATACACAGTTTTGCAAATTTGACTATTACTAGTGTCAGTATAAATTACGAATATCCATGACAGATTGGTTTTTGTTATTCCGTGAATCTCTAAAGCCATACAAAACGATTTTCTCGATTAAAACTCGACAAATGAAGACATTTATTACATGTGGCAGAACATTAACAAAAAGTTAGGTTGCCTGATTTATGTTTTGTTTTGAAGGTAATCTATGAATAATTATTGACCTTTCAGGGTGAAATTATAGCTCAACTCATGATGTTCCATTGCTCAAAATATGATGTCCTTTGTTTGAATTATGGAGACTTCAAACTCCTGATAAGCTTGTGATAGTCATCCATGCACCATTTTCATTCAGTGAAGTGTTTCTTTCTAAAAAATTCTAGAAAACAACGACCCAGAATTGTGAAACATAGTTTAAAAATTTTAGATAGTTCAAACAAATACTTTCTAAGTTATTCACCGTTCAATAGTATTGTATGATTTCTTGCATATCTATGTTTGAAGTAAAAGTGTGAGATAGAATATGAGACCTACAGACCATTATATATGTCTGACAGACAGTAGCAAGCAGTCCAAAAGTGAACTTGATATGTTGAGAAAGGAAATTTCTAGTTACGATCAAATTTAGGGTCTGAATTGATGAGTAATTTTTCTTAATGCTCATCAATGCACTCGATATACTTCGAAACCTTTATTGTATATTGGAAAGGCTTAGACCAAAACTTAGGAAGAAAAAAAACGATGCAAGTATGGATGTGGACGAAGAGTTGATCAACATTTACATCCACCTAAAGATGATAATGTCATTTCTAGAACAAGCTCGAAGCTTCCAATATTTTTCGCTTCACATAGAATATCGTTGTTTTTGATAAACGAATTTCAGTCTTCTAAGTATTAGAAACTTATTAGATGATTACTAGTTCCATATTTTCTCTAAACAATTTCTGCATTAATCAAAATATTTAAAAATACTTTCATGTAACAATTTAATTTGTTAGTTATTTTGAATATGATACTTGAGTTTCTCATTATAAAAAGAATAGACATAAAAATCTCCTACGTAAAGTATATTTAATGCATTACTATTATGCATCAGTGGATTGTATATGAAATTCTTAAACAAGAAATTAATATTGATATTTTTCAACAAAATAGAACATTTGAAATGAAAAAAAAACGTACAACAAATAAGTTTATATGTCAATTTTCGAGAGAATGGATAGAAAAAAAATAGATGATCTGAGACAGAAATCTTTGTCTTAAGAATTACGATAAGCTTTTCTTGAAGTAATTTTTTTTCTAGGATTGACACGAAGCATTTACATGAATCGTACATATGTTTTTCTGACCCAATCAAAAATGCCTTCAATATATTCCGATAACTATGAAAACAAAAAGTTCTATGTAATTTTCTAAATTGCTCAATAATGGCATCTGAGGATGATGTTATCTGTTAGAAACAGTTTATTAAGAATTCTTTGCCAAATATTCAACTAGTAACAAAAAATGTGTTGTTTCGATTTGATAAATCATGTTCTTGAAGCATCAAAAAAATAACTTACAATTAACTATTCAAGTATTCTTTTTTTTCAACTCACTGATGCCATCGCTACTACTTTCTTATTCCAATATCCTCATTACTATAAATATACTAATGTTTGCCTTTTTTTTTCTCTCGGCAATTATATAATGTGTTCTAGAACGTGAACAATGAAAAACGTCATTGAAATAAAATGGAATGTTAGAAAATTCATAATTGTGAGACTTTCAATCATAGTACAAGTAAAAGACAATAGAAAAACGATATTAATTGAAATGTATTTTTTTATTTATCTGTATCGACTCGATGATCTCATTTCTTATCAACCTACTTTGGTAATAATAAGCAAAAATAAATAAACTAGAGTAATTTGTTCTGAATTTTTTTACATAATTTGTTGTTAACAATATGCATAGCAAGCTCATTGAAAATATCTTAAAATGAGAAACAGCTAAATAATTTATTCATTGTTGAAATATGTATTAGTTTTAAATTTTTTGCTTTCTTCCTCTCTCAACAGTTGATTACCTTATGATGACTTTTATTAGTCGCTTAAGGAACCAACAATATATATGAAGTATAGCAATTTCTACCATGTAAGTGATTAAATTGCTACTAGAAAAATACTTTGTGAACGACATATTTAGTATCAAAACATCTGCATTATATGAATGCTCTTGAATATAAAATAGAATAACACTTTCAAAATCATATTCATTGTTATTCATAGTTTTATTCTCTATCACGGTTTGTATTAAATAAATCAAATTTTTCTGACAAAATAGTAGAACATAATGCGATATAATAGTCCAAAAATCATTATTCTACAAGGAGTGGAATATTTCAATGCGATCTTTTACACTAATATGCTAGCTTTTTCATTAATAATAATGAAGACGACGTTCATAATTCAGATTAATAAAAAGAATCTTTACTAAAACAATTTCTAAATGCCACTCATAATACAGTCTAGTTGTTGGACCCATTATTTCGAGTGTTGTTGTGATATGTTGTGTTATTCATCTCAACGTTTTCATACCTTCGTACTTCAGTTTACTCTAATCATTAAGATCATTGTAAGGATGATGTCACTAGTTTTTTTGTTCTATTTTCCATCTTTCCATAACTATTAACGATTCATTTGGATAGTTTGCAGGTTAGAAATTATATAATTAATTTTTCCTCATAAAACTCACATTGAACAAAGGTTAGTTTCATCAAAATATGTTCCTTGTCTATTGTTGTAAGTCCAAGACTAAACTCAAGTAATCTAATATGAAATGTTAGTATACATATGAGATCTGAGGAGGATACTCAATAGAATGCATCGAGTCATTAATCTGTATCGTTCATTTTCGGTTATGAAGATAACTAAGATTATTTATAGAAGTGATGGTAGCAGTTTCTTTATTGTTATGAAATTGTACAATAACATTCAGAAACTTTTTGCTGAAAATTCTGTCATGAATATAAATTATGAACATTTTCTTCAATAATAGTATAGAAATCAATGCATTTTCAAGACAAAAAGGCGGCTTGATAGTCGATTTCTTTTGAAATTATGACTTTTGATTCACTTTGCAGACCTATTTTCTTTCGAAACTATTCCTTGTAGTAAAATCGATTTTTGTCAAGAACAACATTATTACCTAATCGACGTTTTTTTTTACGATAAATGTAGTGTGAACATAACATATTCATGTCCATCTCGTTGACAACAACTGTTAGCTTTTGGATGCTAACATTTTTATTATTACGCTGTGCTACTGGTAAGAAATACATTTTATTTTTTGCTAACTTCATTACATCAACATTTCTATGTGTGCACAAAATCCTTAGAATCTTTTAACACTCACATACAATAAGTTGAAACAATAGTGATCATTATGTAATTCGATAGTGAAATAATCCTCTGACGAGAACATTTGTGCTGCCATCGTAGACACTCAGGATGTGGATGTGAGTATGAGTGCGGGTCTGCATCTGGCTTGAAAAAATACGTATACCCACACCCAAATTTATATTATAACAATTCTCGTTTATTGCTAATAGAAAAGAAGGTCATAGTTTTTTATTATAAAAAAGGTCTGCTTACTGGTTTAGGATCTGAAGTACCATGTCTTATGAGAACAACTCGTTGCATTCTGAAAGTAGACAAAAAAGATCGAAATAAGTCAGTTCAAGGATACCCCTTCCCCCCTCCCCGTCTTTTTCGACCAAAATCTCAATTTCGACTTGAGTATAAGATATCATAGCCTCAAATGTTGTATGCAATCAGACACATTAAGCAGCTCTAAACACTTTACTATTATAGAGTTACTGAATTAAAGAAGCTTTTTTTTCATAGTAACCATAAGGAATTTTTTTTCTTTTGCTTAGCATATCACAAAACCACTTTTGACATTCCTCTCCAGATTTACAGGGTCCTGAAGGCTAAGATATGAGTTTCGGCACTGAATCTTGACCTATTTTTCTTATAGAAAAAAATGAAGTGAAACCTTTGAAAAAGCTTAAATTTATCTACGAGAAATACTCTTAGGTATCTGAAAAAGTTTTCAGCTCAATTGGACCAAGTGTGAGGAGGATCGTAATGAACCAGGATGCGGACTTCTGGAAAATCCTGGTTTTCAATTTATTTCAAATTTATTCTCCTCAAACACGTATCTCGTAATTTTTGATGCTATATCTGTGTTGAAAATTTCAGTTTGATCAGTAGTACCATCTTCGAGAACCAAAAATGGTCTAAAACGAGATGGTACCATTGAAAAGTCCGAGTTCTTTCTTTACAGACCCTAATATAGGAATCCTTTTAAATCAACAGCTGAACTGTTTAAAAACGCCACCTCTGATATTATAACTAAAGATTATGCATAGAAGGAACAAAGCAGTAACTCGGGTAGAAATTAAAAAAAACAAGCAAAATAAGGAAGATATGAACTGATGAACATTAGTATGAGAGCACGGTCTAAAGATAAGTTTTTCACTTTCCTTCCTCATCTAGAAATCATTATTGGCACAGCTCTAATATTATCGATAATGGACCACGAAGAAAAAGCTGAGAATCTTCTTTCTGATAAATTTAGTTCCGTCGAAACAGAATCAACAATCACAATTCTATTTAGTAATTTAAATGAAAAGAATTTTCAAAATATTCTACTACAAAAATATAGAGAACTTCGTTACAAAAAACGTATTGGAATGTTTTCCTATTCTTTATTCACACTTCAAAATTCATAGACATTGAGTAGTATTAAAAAAATGTTCATGTAATTAAAAAGAAACAGTTAATGTCGACATTTGTATATGTATTCAGCTCTACAAACTCTATCACCTCTTGCACGTTGGGCTCAAAATGCAACCACGGTCGCAGGCTTGAAAAATGGCACATCTGGATCATCTCAATCTACTCTCAATCAAAATCGAGGAATAAGCATTGCAAGTGACGGTACTCTCTATATCGCTGATTTTTTGAATAATCGAATTGTGTTGATCGGACCTACTTCAACTACGGCAATAGCTAGCATTACAACAGACTCTGCCTCCCAAAATCTATTTATGTATCCTAGTGATGTTTTTGTCACTCAAAAATATATCTACGTCTTAGACATGTTAAATTATCAAGTCGTAAAATTATTTTTAAACAGAACAAATCCAGTCACCGTTGCCGGAATCAAAGGTGTACGTGGAATGAGCCTAAATACATCAACACTTGTCACTGTCACCAATATATTTGTTGACAATAATGAGAACTTGTATGTGTCTGACACTGGCAATAACATAGTGATCCGTTATCCACCGAACTCATCGAGCGGTATGCCTGGTTTGATAGTCGCTGGAAATGGCACCGCTAGAAGTGATGGTTTACAGTATATGCCATCCGGAATATTCGTCGATGAAGAGGGAACACTGTACGTGGCAGATGCTCCAAATCATCGAATCCAAATATGGTATAATGGAGCTTCCTCTGGTGTTACGGTGGCAGGCACTGGAATATCGGGTAGTAGTTTATCTCAATTATTCTTGCCGATGGGAGTTGTCGTTGACTCGAATGGATATATGTATATAATGGATTCTGGAAACAGGCGAATTCTACGATGGCCACCGAATTCAAACTCGGGCGAATGTATTGTGGCTTGTACTGGTTTTGCTGTAAATACAGTTGATACGTTTAATTTCGCTCTGGCGATCGCATTCGATAGTTATGGATCTATCTTTATTAGCGACACAGGAAGTAATCGAGTACAGAAATTTCAGATCCTTGATAGTTTTGGTTAGTAGTAAATGTTCTAATCATCGTGGTTAATTGTTTCTCTATTCAAATTAATTGAGGTCCAACTTCAACGACAACGTCGACTTCGACAACAACATCAATAGTACTAACAACAACCACAACAACAACAGCAATAACGACAACAACAACAACAACAATAACGACAATAACAACAACAACAGCAATAACGACAATACCAACAATAACAACAACATCATCGTCATTGCAAATCCCTTCGGTGGCACGTATACCACGGCCAACAGCAGTTACAATATCAATCACTGTATTGGTAATGTTTTTTTTTTATCCAAAAATATTTCATGGCACTTTCAATCATTCTTCTGATAATTTTCTAGCTTTCATTTTACTATCATGAGAACTTGAGAGATTCTGTCCTACGCCTCAAGACTACACCGTAGGTTATACAATGAACGAATGGTTCGTTTCGTCGATTTTGACAGTCGTTCTTTCTCTCTACTGCTTTAACACTTCACTCGCTTGTCATTTCTGTATCGTTTATAAATGTCAAAGCATATATTCTATATTGCTGAATTATTGAAACAAGATTTTCAAATTCATAATTTTGTTTTATTTTTATGCTTCAAATAAATTTTGCTTTTCTTAATGAAGCTTCATGTGTCAAGTCGATGTAAGTGCGCTGCTATACAATTATAAAAATAATAAGTCAATTATAGATTTATAAAAGTAAATTTATTAATATATTTTTGTCTCGTTCAATATGTATTTTAACAAAAACCTTTGTTCAAACTTTGACGAAGAAGAAAGACGAAAAACAAAAGTATTAGAATTAACGAACAAAAATATAGCGCACAGTTTAAATGATGAGTTCAATTAAAAATTTCAATCAATCTAAGATATTATAATTCTATTAACATTTCATTAATATGGTTTCTCTAATGAGAATCAACTAAAAATTATAATGACTATCGAATCTTCAATCCTAGAATACTCGAAATTCTATTTGTTGACCCTGGTTGCTATTATAGATAGATCAGAAAAATATTTATTTAGAATACTTGTTTGTCTTGTGTAACAGAAATAATCTGATTGCTTTATCAAGTTTTTCAATTGATTCATCTGAAATCATAATTATTTGGTCTTTTAATCATGCACAATCACTTACACCGACAGAGTAATTCTTTTATTTTATTGTCGATTTCTTCTACACACATACACTAATATGTATAAATTGCAGCAAGAAGTTTAACAGACTTATATTGTGGTTGTGAATGTTGACTCACACTCAATTTTCCATCTGTTTTTTTCAAAAAATTGCTGTTTTAATAGCTCAAGAGTCTTTCTTATGTTCAATGCAGTTTGATCAAGATGTTGGTTTTAGAGGATACATATGGATCTTTTCTTGGCCTTCACACATCCAATCCGTAACAAAACCATATCCGTCTTCACTCTTATGATGGTTACTTCAATTACTGGGTTTATGTCGAAATCTGTTGGAAACGAAGAATATCATGATCAATTTGTTGAGGTGTGAAGAGTTTTTGCTGATATCTTTATCTACGATAGGTGCTTAAGCAGTTATGAACAACATTGAATTGAAGTCGTATATGCCCGAATTATTAGTAAACTTCCTCATAAGATAGCACTTACATGTTCAAATCGAAATATCAGAGACGTCCAAAACAGACTAAGATATAAGATTTTTCTAATAAATTTATGATAGTCACTATTCATCCATTCCAGTAACGATTCATGTTTTTTTCGTTTTATTCAAACAAGCATGAATGAAATCCGATACTATTACGGCTAGATAGTAAATCCGTATGAGCGATCGGCTACTTAATTTTTTACCATGACATTATTAAAACTACAAAAAAGACAAAAAAAAAGAGACAATAGTTGAGAGGTTATCCGTTTGTATTTTGCAACTATTTCGTTATTACTTATTGTCTAAAGAAAACCATCCGTATCAAAATGTCATACAGATAGACTTTCTTTGATAAAATTGAAATAAAACTTTTCGGCAATAAAAATCGAATATTTTCCGCCTAACTTAGTGTAATCGTGTTACAATCACGAATCATCACGTGATTACTTCAGAGATGCCCACAGGCCACTTTTTTCCGGCCTGGCCTGGCCTGGCCTGACCTGCAGGTCAAACCAGGCCGATTGATGTTTCTGATTTTTGAAATCCATTAAATTCAATAACTCTGTACTAATCAGAGCTGCCAGCAGACCACTTTTTTGCGGCCTGGCCTGGGCTAATTCATATTGCCTGCAAACTTCGAATATGAATTTGCATATCTTATACTGATTTTTATTTAAGTGTAGTGAGAAACTTGTTGAAAAGCCTAAACAATGCTTTCAATGGTGAGTCAACAGATTTTTGTTTAGCTTATAGGTCTCTTTTTCAACATACTAAGACCTGTTGGAGTCGGCCATTTTGAAGAAAGGATACTTCTATAGTGTGTGAGTGGATGTTAATCTGTCTAGGTCTTTTTGACACCCACACACCGTCCGAGAAAGGCTTCAATTAACAAAATGCCTTCGATTGTAGCAAATCTGTTCTGCATTATTCGAAAAAATATATCCATGATAACTAAACAACATATGACGAAGCGTAGAATGAATAGGTAAAAAAAATACAGAACAAAAATATCGTCAATGAGTGTTACTTATGATGGGAGGCAACGAGATTTTTATTTAAGAATCAAATTTTATGAATACGCGATCACAAAATTTATTATCCATTTGTTCTGAATCTAAACAAGCCCTTCTGTGAGTGAATACAGATCCTATAACATTAAATTAATGTTCAGTACAAGTTTTGACCGCTAGAATCGCATGAATTTGTTAAATCAGTTTCGGATAATAAGACCATGCATCAATATTTGATCTTCAACATTTAGGAACTACTCAAGTAAAAGTGAATAAGTATTCTGTGATTTAACGAGAAAAGATATTACGGTTATATATCTGAAAACACGTTAAAAATTGGCTTTTAACGAAATTCCACACATTCTATCTCGACAGAAACAGTTTAGCTTGAATTAACAAATGAGATTTGTTAAAAAGAACGTTTAGCACATATTAATAGTGAAAAATGTTATGCCTTCTTTTCGTTAAATCGTTAAATTTTCTTAAAATTTTTACATGGACAAGCTGATCGTTTTGATCTGGTCTAGCCTGCAGGCCAACAACTTCAGCCTGGCCTGGCCTGAAGGCCAGGCCGAATATTATTTGGACGGATCAGGCCAGGCTAAAATTTCAGAATTCGGCCTGGCCTGGTGGACGGCCTGAGGGCCTGCCAGGCGCCTGTCAGACAGCAGGCCAGGCCGCACAGTGGGGAACTTCCGCATACCAGGTGGACATGTAACTTTCTTGCTTTAAAATCGTCTTTTATAGCTCAGAAGTGGTTATATATCACTTAGAAAATCGTCTTTAACGAAATAAACCACTTTTTGGAAGAACAACTTTTTTGCCAAAAAACACCTGTGGGGGACCTCAGCCAAAGTTTTCGAAAAAATTATTTTGTTAGAAAATGTTTTCTATCATACATCAATCGACGCAGTTTTACGCGCTGATTCCGAATATCGCCTTGATTTTTTGCTAAGATGCTATTTTAAGGGCAAAAAAGGAACATTAGGCGAGAATCATGGTTTTTTGGAAATCCATTGTCCAGTCTACGGACACTGATGCGATACGACACACATAGCCGACGATAAACTAACATGGAAGTATACAATTAATAAGAACTTGAGCTCAATCAGACGAAAACTGTTTGTAGCGTTCGAAAAACACGAGATGACTTAGGCTTTTAAGCTTTTCCTTAATAAAGGTCAAAAAAAATTTTTCGAAAAAACGGCTTTTTATTATATATCGTTAGATGCAGCTCAATGAGCTGGTTCCGAATATCACCTTGGTTTTGCATCAAAACGATGGCTTATTGTGAAAAACAGGAATTTAGGGCCAAAAACCTAGGTTTTTGAGAAACTCGTAGCGCCGGCTATGCTCATCGGCGCGAGATGGCGCTATGGTGAACAACGCATCAGACATGAAAGAACAATCAGGAAAAGTTTGAGGTCAATCGGACTGAAACTCTTTGTAGCGTTTACAAAATACGGAAAGGCTGGTTTTCAAAACCTTGTCGGTTCCTAGGAACCGACTTTTTTTCTCAGAAGCACATACTGTTGTATATGATTCGATGCAGCTCGACGAGCTGATTTTGAATATCACCTTGGTTTTGCGTCAAAATGTTCTCATATTCGCAAAACTAGCGATTCCGGGGCAGAAACCTGTTTTTTTGGAATACCTCTAACTCGGCCTGTGTTCATTATTTCAATACGGCGCTATGATCAACGATACATTAAACGTGGGAGAATAATCGGTGAAAATTTCAGCTCAATTGGATTAAAACTCTTTGTAGCGTCCACAAAATACGGTATGACCGATTTTTCGACCCACTTTCGGCCCAGTAGTTAGTTTTTTTCTATTCCATTTCTGGTTCAAACGAAATAATTTTTTCACACAATAAAGCTCATAGATCAATCATTCGTTCCAAATAGTTTTTCATTTTAAAATACTTTGATAAGCTGACAAAAAAAATGGTATCCGTATAATTACCGATTTATCAACAATTTTTTTGACGATGGACTTTCCTAGCGTGGGACTTGATTTCTGAAAATCTAGTTTTAGGGTAAGATAGACTAACCATAGAAGTATTCATTCCATTATTTAGACCTTGGAAAATACAACTTGAGGTCATGTCCGCCTGGTTCCCCACCGTGGGCCGGCAGCTCTGGATTACTTCTATGTTACTTTTTAGGTTCTAAAAAAGACAAAGTAAGGCATCAAGAATGAAAATGCCGCATTCACAAATGCATCTGAAATTCATAAAAGACAAACATTTCAAGAAATTCTTTTATTGAAAACAAAAATAGAAAAAATAATACTCGATTCATGTCATTCAAGAGAATTGTAAAAATTTATGGAAGAGTCTTTCGAGTGTAGGTGTGTATCAGTGTCTTCGCTTCACTTATATTGTCACAATCATATTAACACTCTAGACCCTCCATGAACTCCGACATAAGCCCACACCAACACCTTTTGTTGTAAAATTTCTTTTTTTTACCGCTTATATCTTTTCATCCAGAAGGGTGTGGGCGGGCGTGGGGAGTGTGGGTGTGGATGTCGGGTGTGGGTGTGTGGGTGAGGGAGTCCTTCTCCTCTTTCCACATTCACACCTGCACCTAAGCCCAGACCCACACCGATACCTTGTACTTAGTTTTGATAAAATTTGGCTTTCTAATTGTCTGATTAATTTTCTAGAACCATAAGCTTCATGCTACATGAGGAAGTAATATTAACGATTTATTCTTCTGTTCAGTGGGACAACCATCCTTCAGTTTTCAATGACATAGTATTAGATTAGTTCGATTTAGATATGAAATTTCAACTGAGCTCATACCCTTTTTTCAAAACCGACACACTTGAAACATTTTCACTGGTGTTGTGTATAGATTTATGAATATTCGTAAACAAAGACATTGAGAACTACAACGTATTCATGACATATCAATATAGAAGATGTTAGCGTAAATGATGATAAATGTTAAAGTAAAAGCATGTGTGACACTATAACAAAAACGTGACGAAAGAAAAATTAAGAATGACGTATACTCTTGCTCTATCATACTGATATGTAGAACTTGTTATTTAAAGATAAAAAGGCAACAATAATTTTGTTACTACAAATTATATCATTTTTTCTTATCTATTTGTGCGAACAAGTGTAGACGTAGAAAAAGCATAGATTTAAATGAAATTTTATTAGTTGGTTTTCGAGTTCGCTTTTGCTATAGCAAACCATATGCATCTGAATAATACATTCGAAGGAGTCACCCCTGAGAAGCAGAGAATAAACAAATGGTGGCAACATCGTTGGGCTAAGGTCACTTGTATCGTCTTTATTATTCTAACAGTTTTAGTAGTTACTCTTGCGCTGTTGTTAAAATTTGTCATTCTTGTACAAAAACAGCCAGATAATGTTTCCACTATTAAAACATCAACTACAATAAAAACAACTACATCAAGATCTACATCCACGACTCCTTCGAGGATCACATTGACGTCCACCACGTCTACATCTATACCTACATCTACGACTACGACTACATTCAGGACGACATTTACATCAACAACTTCAACCACTCCAGAGCCACGTGAGTACTCTAATGGTTTGATTAGCTAAGCAAGAGCCAAACAAAATCTTCATGAATCAACTTGCTAAAAGTAGTTTTCAACGTAAGTTAGTACAGAATAATAGTTCTTTGACAGACAAGTTCAAATACTCTATCCTAAAGGCTAGATTTTTCATTCTTACTGTCATGTTTTCTCTGCACATATGAGAATCTATCATTTTCACCGTTCATCAATGTGGAAATGATCACAAGGCATTTTGCTAATGTTGGAACATTCTATTCTTGTGAGACAGATTACTTCGAACAACCGAAAGTTTTATCTTTACTTTAAGTTGTGCCCGCATGTTGTTAAGCATGCGAAGTTTGATTTCCGATGAACATCATATAAATGAGTCGCTGTAGTGCATTGATTACTGTGTTTTGTTCTAGGAACAGTACTTACTATGTTGCTATACCTGTTAACTATCAGTTCGTTAAACCTCAGGAATATTAAGATGTCAACAGTAAACGTCGCCTTCGATGAATAAGAAATTTCTATATTTCTTGTTTTTATTATTTATCAAAAACATGATCAATCAAACACGATTCAATAACAGCTGAGTCTATCGAGGAGCGTTTTTTGTATAAAAGCAATAAATGCTTCTAAACGAAATACCTTGTAAAATATTGGCTAGGCATCATAGGTCCCGAGTCTTTTAAAATCTATGTTTACAATTGCTGTAAGTGTCGTGAATTAGGAGGAATCGTTGAATGTTCTTAAAGCTCAAAAATAAAGTTTGAGCGAAAGCACTTGAGTTCAAAAATTCAGCGACAGAAAAATCTAATCATCTGCCGTTATAGTTTCATCACATTCTACTTGTTCATTTGTTTTCTCAATTTTTTGGATCCTTTCGATCGTTACCTGCGAGGTAAAGCTCTTTGAAAGTAAAAATCACATTATCCTGTATTTTCCATCAGTTTGTTTTCCAAACAATGTGGAGAGACAGACAGTATTCAGACGAAGTTCTCGAGAATGATGAAATTCATTTTGGTATTCTCTAGACGAATTATTGTCGAAAAATTTGTTGCGTGTTTAACTAAAACCTTACTATTCATAGGAATCTCATTCACAAGGAATAATTAGGATAGTATGTCGTATAAAATCTTTTGTTGTATCCTTCCCTAAGATTTACTAAACATTTCTACAAGATAGAAATAAATTTTTGTTCAGGATGGTCTGAAACTGGTAGCATGAATCATGCTCGAGATGAACATACAGCAACCTTATTAATGGATGGCAGAGTACTAGTTTCCGGAGGCAGCACCATGAATGATGTGAATCTAAATAGTGCAGAATTGTATGATCCAGTAACAGAAACTTGGACATATACTGGTAATATGAGCCAAGCACGACATGGTCATACAGCATCTCTGTTGCAAGATGGAAAAGTATTGGTTACTGGTGGAAACAACGGTAGTGAATATCTTGATAGTGCTGAGCTGTATGACCCAGCAACAGGAACTTGGAAAAATGCTGCCGATATGAATGACGAACGAAATTTTCATGCTGCTTGTATGTTACCAGATGGAAGAGTGTTAGTTAGTGGTGGATATAATGGTGATGTTGTTTTAAGAACTACTGAAATCTATAATCCATCAACAGGTCTTTGGACAATGGTTGGTAATATGAGCGATGCACGAGATGGTCACACAATGACTATGTTGGACAATGGAAAGGTATTAGCTACTGGCGGATTTGGCGATCATACTTATCACAATACCGCTGAATTGTATGATCCTACAGCAAAAACTTGGAGAACTACTAGTAACATGCATTTTGCAAGACAATTTCATACAGACACTGTCTTGAGCAACGGTAAGATTTTAGTAACAGGTGGATATCGTAGCACTGACGCTGAAGTGTACAATTCAACAAGAGGATATTGGAAAGCTTCTGGCAAGATGAAATACGCTCGATCTAATCATCAAGCATCTTTGCTACCAGATGGCAGAGTATTAATTACTGGTGGATATGGTGAACGGACCGAAAATACGACTGAACTTTACGATCCATCGACTGAGATTTGGTCAGTCGGTCCTCATATGGCTAGTGCACGAAGTTTTCACAGAGCAACCATACTGAAAGATGGAAAAGTATTAGTCACCGGTGGATCTACTGGAAGCAAAAGTTTAGAAACTGCTGAATTGTACTTTCCATAAACAGAAACTTCAATAATTGTTGCTAAAATTTAGGACGAGGCATATTCAAAAATACTGTCTTGTGCAGATTATCACATAGGATTCTCTAACTAAAGCATAGTTATAATAAGATATTATTTCTGTATTTACGTGATCTAATTGTCATGACATTTGTTACAGGAGGTCTTAACAATCGTTCATAAATACTTACTAGTGAACACTCGAATCATAACATTGATTTTACATGTTATTCTTAAGTTTAAGGAGGTAAGATTTTCAAACGTAGTAAAGTGTTACCTTCAATTTAGCATAGGAAAGTATTGCGAGAATATCAATGCGTGTTATAAATATTCTTTCTTAGTCTAAATCAGTTCATTGCATTTTTTTTGGACTCAATATTACAACCGTCGACTTACCACTGATTTTCATTACAACTCTTACCATTATCTTTTAAAATCGTAATCTGCATCCAAAGCATCGTCTTTAATTTTGCTTTCTGCTTACATTGTGTATTCGAGGCCGTCATACGGATTCATTGCTTTAATAAAAATCAGCACGAAAACCACCGCCGATTGAACTACACAATGACTTTTGTTAGAATCAGTGAAGTACGTTTAATGATTGTGTGGCAATTTAAAAAATTCAATCAGAAGTCTGGCGCCGAAGAGCAAAAGGTGATACTAGTGGATTGATATCTTCCTCACTAAGGAATAGGTAGATCTGTTCTTGAACCGACTTTTTCCTACAGGAGTATATCCTATTTGGACAACTCATAGACATTTAGTATGGCAACGCCCACATACTGTTTTTCTAATGTCATATTGTATTTAGATTGTGTAACCATTCGAAAATGTATAATGAATGTATTTATTATACGATGGAGGTTTTATAATTATTTTCTTCAGTTTTACAACAGATTAGATGTAGAATAATTTCATATAGTGTGAGCAAGAATACACACGTAATTCTTGTAATACTATTGTGAATATTTCTCGTATTCTTGTAGAATTTCAAAACATAAATGTCATTCAGCACATTATGACTTCTAACAAATTGATAGCAATGTCATTCGAAAGTCTTCAGAGCGCTGTTTAACTAAGAAATATTGATCGCGACATTACTTTTTTTATTGTATCTAACAATGGGACGATCGTGTTCAATATCCTATTCGATAATGGAAACCGATGAATTTATGAATATTATATGGATGTGGGTGTGGGTGTGGGTGTGGGTGTAGAGAATACTGCCACCCACCTACACCCACACCCACACTCACCAACACCCACACCCACCCACACTCACCAATACCCACACCCACACCCACCCACACTCACCAACACCCACGCCCACACCCCACACCCACACCCACACTCACACCCACACCCCACACCCATATTCTATCTACCATGTTTTTTTCTTTGATTTAAATAGTTGATAAAACAATTTTTTTCTGGTAACTATCAATTAATACACCTTCGGCTCAATATTTCTAATGATAATTCGTCTATTAATATTCATCAATGTTTAATGCCATCTTCTATTCCTTATAAAGTTTAATAACTGATGAAATTCGATTCCGTTGTTGGATAATTCGTTATTTATATATTTGTCTTTAATATACATGCTTTCTTGAACATTGTATTGAATATATATCCAACATTGAACGATTGTCAATTGCTTTTTAACAACCGATGCATTTTGAACCACGATCCAAGTCAGATATTGAAACACTAACAAAATCAAATGGAAACTGATTTGAAAAGGCGAGATGAATTCACTATGATTAATTTTTCATCTTTATTGAAATCATTTACAATTTGATAATGCAAAATAAATTTTTCTCTTCGTATGTTTGATATTTCTTTTGTGCTCTTTCTAAATACAAGTTTCTCCATTGTTTTTTCGGATTGGATGAGATTTTGTATTGAAAACAAGTACAAATCTTAAACTATTTTCTTTTTCTAGTCTTTTTACAGAACATTAAATTAACAAATTCCATTAGCATTCCGTTTGCAACATTATCGTACTCTTTAAGCAGATCACTTTAGGTTGACTCTTTGACCTTCTTATATGGAAAAAAGCTAACATTCTCATGTGATAGCAAACAATGTACACTTTGTTTCAATACCTAGTTTTCTTATTGACAACTATTTTTTGAAGAGCAGATGCCATTTGATTTTTTGGACAGTTAGTTTTGTTTGAGCTGAGCCTGAGCGATCGGAAACAGGGTAACAACTGTATAGAGACAGTGTTGTTAATCATCTTTTGTTCAAAATTTAATTGTTTGTAATGAAATTATCGAGGACAAATCATGATAAAATTTTGCTGATCCATAAAAATTTTCATATTTCATTTTTTCAGGGTTTTTGTACATCCATAATCTTCACTTTTTCAACATATTTGTGAAACAATCTTTGGTTCCAATCATGAATGATTTTGTAGAGAATTTCAAACGCAATCTTTTGATTAGGGTGATAGTATGTGTACTTTGATATTCACTGTACTCTCGTCTATGCCCACATCCTCAACTTCAGAGAAAATTGATTTCTAATAGGAATAATTTATTCAAAGAGTGGTTTTCTTGTGTCTTTTTTATTTTTCTACTAACTCTAGGTACCAAAATTGCATTATTTGACTTTTGAAAGTTTTCGTCCATAATGATTTCGAATTTGCCTATATCAAAATGGATACTTAAAAATTTAAATCACATCCAAAAATTTAAACTTTATCTTCATATGTATAGTGTACGTTCATCTTCAGATGCAACGATTGACAACTATATTGTTGATGCACATTTTATACATCCATATTGTATATCTCTTGTTGCAATCAATTACAAGGAAATAGTTCCATCCTATCCATTATGGACAACAGTTCTTAACAAATTCTTTATTTAATCTTGCCGCAAAATTCAATAAGAAAATAATTCACATAACGGCTGTGACAATTAAAAAAATTGATGAAATTTTTAACTAATGAATAATTTCAAATTTTAAATAGCCGAAAAGCTTTTTCGTAACATTCTACACATTTCGTTGCATATTTCAAAATTTTAGGAAAAATATTTGTGAGAAACAGTTTCTAAGAAGAACATGCGAAAATAGAGAAAAAGTTGTTTTTCTGATGAATCTAGGTCATAGTTTCTTTTTAAGGCTTAAAACAGCCTACATTTGTCACTGCTCACTATAATAATTACATGATTTTGTCAGAAAAGCTTTTAAAAATTATTAAATGTCAGTCGCAAATCACAAATCACAGTTAAATGACTGAATAGGTTTACATCTTTTTTAATGTCTAGATGAATATTTTTATCAAAAGGAGATGAACGAAAAAATAAATAAAAACATTTAGTACAATTCATTCCGACCCACCCATAATTGTAGCATAATTTTTATTTCTATTTTTCAGCAGTGCTTTCAGATTGTGTTGTATAAAAAGGAAGAGTATGATTATGTGCTTAGCGAAAAGAACAATCACATCCTACATAATATTTCCAACAATATATATATGCATCTACTTTATATGCAATTAAATTCACGAAACATTTTAGAAAAACTTGTATTTTATTATGAAAAAATATATTCATTATTTTTTTATTATATAGAATGTTATAGAGATGTTGATAGTGATATTCAACTTCGAAATGTGACAAGACTTGATTTAGAGTTTTTCTTACATCGTGTGATTCATATGTATTAGTGCATGTTACCTTGATTAATATTATCTTACACATTTAATATTAACTGTTCGAAATATATTTGTTCAATGCATGCTTATATAAAAACTGTATGCATGAATTTTAATAAATGATTCTTAATTTTTTTTAAGAATGATAACTCACACCAAATGAATTTTATTATTAGAATTATGATTTTCTTCAAATATAATACAAAACTATTGAATGCACGCTGAGCATAGAATAAGTAATATCAAATTTTGGTTAGATCGATTCATCGTATCTCACTGATTACTGTTATTTTCATCCAATTCTTTGTACTCCATAGATTTTCTATCAATAAAAAAACAGAAGTCTTTACCGTGAAGTCAAGTAATGTCGAACTGAAAAATTTCATCAGTTTTTAGTCTTAAGGATGAAATAATAGAATTCACACCTACCCTTTATGATTTTCTTCTATGTTGGGTGGGTGTGGGTGTGAGGGTGTGAGTGTCAGTTTTGGTAGTCTGTTTAATCATACCCACACCCACCCTTTTAACTCTAACTACTGGACAATACAATTCACCAAACTGATGTGAAAAGAAATACATCAACTTTATCAGTTCAAAAAAATTAATTTTTTTTTCATTTTGTTTAATATTGGTAGGAGATAGTTTTTCTCTTGATAGAATGTCTGAAACTATATATACTGTTATCTGATAACCAATCAAACTAAAAAGTTCTCCTAAGAGAGTTCAGACTCAAGATTTTTCTTGTCCAGTTAAAATCTAAGCAGGTTGAGTAGAAGGAAGTGAACTCGTCTTTTCATCAATTTCTAATAGTATGAATACTCCAAAAATTAGAATACAATGAGGTTGTCTTAAAATACATTGATAGTTTAGTAATGATAACTGGGATAGTTTCTTTTATAAAATTCGATTTATTAACAAATTTTTTTCATTTCTTTAATTATACGTTTAAATCGAGTTTTTTTTGTTGATAATCTCATCAAAATACTTTCGAAATAACTTTTCATAGTGTCAAAAAAGCATTTTTTTGAATCTTTTGAACTTCTAAAAAAATTTCGTTTTTTTTTCTTGAAATAATTTTAAAGGCATGATCAAGAGTTACTTCTTTTCAATATTTTCTAATTTATTATAAAATGTTTCATAAGGTTCATTATCGATTGTTACATCTTGAAATGGAATGAAACAATATTCTTTTAATTTTTACTAAACTATTATATTTTATTTGATTATTAAAATACTTAAATGATTTTTCTATCGCCATTATTTATTCTGCTCTCAATTGAATAATTTCTATGGGACTTGCTTGATTAAATATCTTTACACTTTTAATAATTCTC